GAGCTGTGCCAGGTGCAGGGTCTGCTGGCTGGGTGCTGGCAGGCTTGCACCTGGCATGGGCACCATAGCCCGCCCGTGCCCCTTTAAGGGGTCCGGGGTCGGGAGGGGGGCATAGAGTTTCCCTGGTGTTGGACAGAGTGGCCATCAGGGAAAGCTGGGGAGGGCTAGCCTCCCACTAGTTTGAATTAAGGGGCTACACACCCCTTAATTCGAACTAGTAAATTCGAACTAGGCTTAATCCTCGTAAAATGAGGTTTTCCTAGTTCGAACTAAGCGCTCCGCTAGTTCGATTTAAATTCGAACTAGCAGAGCGCTAGTGTAGCGGCTATGAATGTTAGTTCGAACTAACGTCCGTTAGTTCGAATTAACATTGTAGTGTAGACATACCCTCAGTGATCCCCTACCGTGCCCTCATTCCCAGGGAGTGACCCTGCCCTGCAGAGCTTCTAATCTAGGTGTCAAAGCAACTGGGACTGGGCCTTTTACCACTAGTTAGTCTGTCCAGACTCAGGGACCAGGTGCTCCTTTGTTACCCTGCCAGGGCAGAGGAAGGAGTCCAGCCTCCAAACCCAAGATCTGGGCTCAATCCCCAGCTCTGCCAAACTCCCAGTGTGATCCTAATCCCACCGCTTCTATGTCTGTGCAATGGGAAAGAAACATCCCATCTCTCTGGTGATTTACGGGGGATCACTTAGTTCAAGGGCTCCTCTGTGAAGCCTTCAGCGCAGGGGATACCACCTGCCCATTCCCGGCGTTCATTCTCTGCGCCACGCAGGCCCTTGGCAACCTCGACAGCCACTTGTGGAGACTGGACTGTTTCTCCCCACTGCGAGAACGGCAGCACCATCTGTCGGATCTTGCCACAAGTTCCAGACTTTCCCGGTGCAGCCCCGATCATCCTTCTACCCTGCCGTGGTGAGCCAGGAAGGACACGTGCACAAGCAGCAATAGGAAACCAGATCCGGCACCGGTGGAGATTCAGCCCAGACCCAACACTCAAGGAACCACCACACCAGAGGCACCAGCCATGCCACCAACAGGGCCGGGCTCAGGGCGTTTGCTAGACTCCTCTCCGAGGGCTGGGCGAACCAAAGAGGGTCCTGCCTGGCCAGTGCTTGGGTTAGAGTCTCCCATTGTGCTCAGATGGTGCTGATGAGTCGGTGGATCCCATGGGGCACTGAGCTGCCGGGGTGACCTGCCATGGATGAGAGGGGTGACTGAACCCCACCGCTAGGATGGTCAGAGGTCCCATTTTTAAAGGGACAGTCTCCTTGTTTTTTTCCAAAACGGGTCCCGCTGGGGACTCTTGTACATTTGAAAGGAGGAACGCGGAAGTGCCTATCGACTAATTGAGCAGTCCATGGAAATTACATCAACTACGTGTCTAGTCAATTAACTGCAATGTAACATCCTTAATACAGATCCCCCCCTGCCACCTATAGAGACACTGCCTCAGGCGTCCCCCGCCCTTCAGGGAACAGACAGTCGAGCCGCGGTTCACAGAGGATCCTTTATTGCTACACTACACTCCGCGCTGGCTGCGGGGGCGCCTGCTGGTTGGGGCAGCAGCCTGGATCCTTCCAGCAGCTGGAATGGGTCGCATGATGCCCAGCAGGGTTGAGGAAGGGCCCCTCCAAGCCAGGCAGGGGGTCATGTGGAGAAGACACGGCGTGGCCCGAGCAGGGAGCCTGGCTGTGGTGTTTGGTGGGGATGGGCCTCGGGAGGGGGCTCAGGTAGGGTGGGGGCAGAGATCTGAGGTTTGCAAACGGGGCACATGACTCCTGAGCTGGAGGCTTACAGCCAGCAGTCGCTGCTGCTCTCGGTGGGGACCCCCGTCACCTTGAAATCATTCACTTGGAAGACCCAGCGCCCTGGAACCCCGACGTTGCTCGTCTGCCCGATGCGGAGGACAGCCTCCGTGCGGGAACCCGGGATGTTGTAGAAGTTTTTGTTGTCACCGCTGTTGAACCCGGCCTGACGGCGGAGACACGGGGAGCAAATGAAGTTAGTGCACTTGCCTGTCACTGGGGTAGTGGGGGCAGCACTGACTGAGCAGAGTCCCCGTATCTTTCCATGCAGCCCAGTGCCCCATCTGAGTCCCCCCACCACTCCCTGCAGCCCAGCACCCCCTGCTGAGCCCCCACTCTGCTTTGCATAGCCCAGCACCCCCGGATGAGCCCTCACCCAGCTACCTGCAGCCCAGCACCCCCTGCTGAGTCGCCAACTGATCCCCACTGCACAGTGATCCTGATGATCCCCCTCTCTGCTCCCCCTTGGCCCAGCACTCCCTGCTGGGCTCCTCCCACCCTGCTCCCCACAGCCCAGCACCCCACGTTCTCATGTGAGCTGTGTAACGGGACCTACCTGGGCGGGTTTACCCCCTAGGCCGGTGGTGGCGTTTCCGCCACTCGCCGTGCCTGTGGTCCACTGGATCATTCCATAGTTCAGCATGATGAAGGTGACTTGGCCGTCGTTTGCCAGCACGGCCTGGAATGTGTTCACCTGTAGCAGAGAGGGAGGAGACCCAGGTGAGGGAGACCATGGGAGCTGCATAGACATGGGAACCACAGGGTCCAGCACCCCGCTAGCCATTCCCCTGGAAAGCCCCTGATTGGTGACTATGGCAGTGAAGCCCAGCAGTTGCACAGTTGTGGGAACACAAGGGTCCTGTCTGGGGCTTTGTCTAGACCACAGGCTTCTTTCGGAAGAAGCTTTTCTGGAAGAGATCTTCAGGAAAAACTTTGTCCAAAAGAGAGCGTCCACACTGCCAAAGTGCATCGAAAAAGCAATCTGCTTTTTCCACACTGAATAGACGCTCTCTCGCACATAAGCTGTGGTTACTACAGGCAGAGTGACCACCAGGGCACCTGTGCTTTTTCCTCTTTCCTCTTCTTCTAAAAGAACTCCCTCTTCCCCATCCACACACACCTTTTTCCAAAGAGCTCTTTCGCAAAAAGGCTTCTTCCTTGTAGAAAGAGGTTTACCGATGTTGGAAAAAACCATCTGCTCTTTTGATTTTCTTTCAAAAGAAGGCGACTGTAGAGTGGATGTAAGTGCAGTTTTTTCAGAAAAGCTCTGCAGTATAGACATAACCTGGGTCTAGCAGCCCCACCAGCTAGTCTCCCTCCTGCCTCTCCCCTCCCCAGGTGCTCAGCTGGAGCCGTGGGGAGTGAGGTGTCACATACCTTCTGGGAGGTGGAGCCGTAGTAGGCCACGCGGTCCCAGGTGGCCACAAAGGCCCACGTGGCTGTGAAAGGGATTGCTGGGAAGTACTGGTTCATGTCTCTGGTGAGGCGACGCAGCAGCCCAGGGTCCTGGCTCTCCCGGTAGTAGACGTCCCCACCCAGTATATTGCTCACATCACCCCAGTAGGGGGCCACAAAGGGGCGGCCATCAGCCAAGGGGAAGGGGTCGGGGGTGTACTGGGAAACGGTCACGCCGAAGGACACCACGCCATTATTGTTCACCTGTGGGGGGGAGGGGAGCAGAGAGGTGTCTGTAGGAGCACAGCAGAGCATGGCTATCCCCTCCTTGCAGCACAGCACCCCCTGCTGTGCCCCCTGCTCTGCACCTCACAGCACAGCGCCCCCTGCTGTGCCCCCTGCTCTGTACCTCACAGCACAGTGCCCCCTGCTGTACCCCCTGCTCTGCACCTCACAGCACAGCGCCCCCTGCTGTGCCCTTTCTGATTAGATTAAATTAGATTAGATTAGATAGAGGGGTGTCTATGGGCAGGGATGGTAGAAAGCTCTGTGTGGCACCCTGTCACTGGCTGCCTGTAACACATGTGCTGTGGGGTCGACAGCGGGCTCAGCCCTGCCGTACGTACATAGAGGAAGCGATGGTCCTTGCCATAAAAGGTGAAGCTCATGGAGATGGGGATCTCCGGTGATGCTCCGTCGTCGGCTTTGGGGTTCTGCCGGTCACTCTGGGCTGGGCCGTAGGGATACAGCAAAGACTCTGAGGTGGGGAGAAGGTGCCTTGTGAGAGCCTGGAGCAACTCCCTCTCCATTGGCCCTCGGAGAGCCACTTCCCAGACCAGTCCAATGGCCTTTGGCATCGGCGATGCCCCCACCCGGTGTCAGGAGCTCCCCATTGGCCTTTACATTCCAGAGCCACACTGAAGCAAAACAAGTTCCCACAATCCTCCCCGAGCCCTCCAGCCCAATTGTTACCCCACCTCCCATCTTGATTCTCCACCTACCCCTCTCACCCAGCCCCCTGCCCCAATCCCCATGTCATCCATAATATAACCCCCCTCTGATTTCATGAGGCATAAAGGATCTGTCGACGAAAGGGTCTAGACTGCGGTGCTGAGCCAACAATCAGCTGATCGGTACAGCACGGCGGCCATTTTGATTTAAAGGAAGTTGCGATTATTTAAATTGTGGCTTCATTTCCCTTTGCCATCGTGACTAATCTACATGGCTCCGTCAACGGAGCCATATAGTTTAGACACACCCCTAGTGAAATCGTTTTCCTAATATCCAACCTGGACCCTCCCACCACAACTTGAGACCATTGCTCCTTGTTCTGCCATCTGTCACTACTGAGAACAGCCTTTCTCCATCCTCTTTGGAACCTCCCTTCAGGAAGTTGAAGGCTGCTATCAAATCCCCCCTTACTCTTCACTTCTGCAGACTAAACAGACCCAACTCCCTCAGCCTCTCCTCATAGGTCATGTGCTCCAGCCCCCTAATCATTTTGGTTGACCTCCGTTGAATCCTCTCCAATGCATCTACATCCTTCCTGTAACTGAGGGCCAAGAACTGGACACAATACTACAATATGATGGGGGCTAATTTAGCTACAACTAATCAGGAAAGAGATCTTGGAGTCATCATGGATTTTTCTCTGAAGACATCCACACAGTGTCCAGTAGAGGTCAAAAAAGCAAACAGGATGTTAGGAATAATTAAAAAAGGGATAGAGAATAAGATGGAGAATATCTTATTTCCTTTATATAAATCCATGGTATGCCCATACCTGGAATACTGCGTACAGATGTGGTCTCCTCATCTCAAAAAAGATATACTGGCATTAGAAAAGGTTCAGAGAAGGGAAACCAAAAAGGTTGAGGGTTTTGGAACGTGTCCCATATGAGGAAAGATTAAAGAGACTGGGACTTTTCAGCTTGGAAAAGAGGAGACTAAGGGGGGATATAATAGAGGTCTATAAAGTCACGAGTGGTGTGGAGAAAGTGAATAAGGAAAAGTTATTTACTTGTTCCCATAATATAAGAGCTAGGGGCCACCAAATGAAACTAATCAGAAACAGGTTTAAAACAAATAAAAGGAAGTTCTTCTTCACACAGCGCATAGTTAATCTTGCCTGGAGAGGTTGTGAAGTCTAGGACTATAACAGGATTTAAAAGAGAACTAGATAAATTCAGGGAGGTTAAGTCCATTAATTTCTATTAGCCAGTATGAGTAAGGAATGGTGTCCCTAGCCTCTGTTTGTCAGAGGGTAGAGATGGATGGCAGGAGACAGATCGCTTGATCATTACCTGTTCAATTCAATCCCTCTGGGACACCTGGTATTGGCCACTGTCGGCAGACAGGATACTGGGCTGGATGGATTTTGGTCTGACCCTGTATGGCCATTCTTATGTTCTTATGAGAGGCCTGCATGGAACGCAAGCGCTTTCCCACGTCCCCGAAAAAGCAGGGAACAGAGTGAAAAGGATACTGAATCCCTGAGCACACGGCTGCTGCTCCCCACCCAAAAATGGCATCCCTGCTACAGTCCCCTCCCCTCAGCCCGCTGCTTCTTTTTATGTCACCTGGCCAGGGCTGGGAACCAGGAGCCCCCGCCTCCCTCCCTCCCCATGTGGTTCTGGCATTAGCCCGGCTCTTGCTGCTGCTGCTCTGTGTGTGTGTGTGTGTGTGTGTGTGTGTGTGCGCGCACGCGCGCGCGCGCGCGCATGTCTATGGGTATGTCTAGACTGCATCCCTCTGTTGGCAGAGGGATGCAGATTAGGCAGGTCAACATTGCAAATGAGGCAGGGATTTAAATATCCCATACCTAATTTGCATAAAAATGGCCGCCGCGTTTTGTCGACTCAGCACTTGCAGGAGGCATAAGGAATCTGTCGAAAAAGGCTTTCTTTCTCCACAGATCCTCTGCTAGACTGCTGCTTTTTGCCGACAAATCTAGAAGGGCCAGATTTCTAGTTAGGTCCTGGCTGGGTCTGTCCCCTGCCCAGTGGGGCAGTGGGGTCCTATAGGTTAGAGTTGTGGGGGTGGGGAGTCAGGACTCCTGGGTCCTGTCCCAGCGGGGGCAGTGGGGCCCTATGGGTTAGCACTGTGGGGATGGAGAATAGCTTCTCGGAAAAAAACAAAGATGCCCGCACAAGCTGGTATTCCATCATTGGCACATTCACTGACGTCTACCACCACCTTGAACCAGGAAGGGGAGCTCTCGTCACAGAGAGAGGCCACTTTGTACATCCCACTGTAGAGGAGTTTCCCTTTGGCGCCATCAAAGGTCGTGAAGTAGGCACCTGGAGAGATTATGCACCGGCCTTCCTGCTTCACGCAGCCATGCATCCCATCCCTGAGGACACAGATCTCATCCGCGAGGCAGCTGGTTTTCTCACAGATAAGCCCCCCTGATGGGTGGCAAGTGCATTTCTCTGAGCAGTCACTGGAAATGACACTCTCCCGGGACTGAGGGAAATTCCAAAATAAACAATAAAATAACCAGTGTTCCAAACTTTCAGTCAGGTCCAATATTAACTTCCAAAGACCAACAGCAACTGCAACAATGTCAAAATGCCTACGGGAAGTCTCCCCGTAAGGGGACTAAAGACCAGAATAGGAAATACAAATGATAGCGGTAATGACCAAAAAGAACAGGAAGACCCAAGAAACAAGGCGAAGATGACAAAGGACAGTGATGATGACCAAAGAAACAGAAACTTTGAAGGATGATGGTGCCAATCAAAGAGGATACCAATCAAAGAAAGAAAGAAAAGATAAAGGATGACTGGGCAGATTAAGGAAACAATCAACTCCAGGATGACAAGGACAGGGACAGAAAGAAGGAAGAGACGAAGGATGTCAGTGCTGACCAAGAAAGAAGGAAAAGACAAAAGACAATGGTCATGACCCAAGAAACAAGGACAGTTCTTTTTCTATTTTTCTATGGCAGTGCCTAGGTGCCAGTCAAGAATGACACCACAGTGTGCCAGAGACACTCTGTAAACACTTCAAGAGACAGCCCATGCCCCAAAGAGCTTAACATCCAACAAGACAAGGCAGGCCAAGGAGAGGGGAACATAGAGAGGATAAGAGTGGTGACCAAAGAAAGAAGAAAAACACAGTGGAAGAAGATGCTGATCAATCACAGGCAAGAAGGAAGGTCGGGGTGACAGATCATGATGATGGGACATGGAAATGACATCTGAAGAGAAGGAGAAACATGAGTGAAAATCAAAGATCAGGGGATGAAGAGGGAAAAATTAAACCTCGATCTGTTATACTCACAGGCTGTGTTCTACGTGGTGGAATCCCCTGGAAACTCTTAGGTGACTCATACTTTTGACCACTTCAGCTCTGTTATTTTAAGACTCCTGAGGCACCAACTACACAGAACAGCCAGAACCTACCTTGATGTAACGTCCACTGTGCATGCAGCCACACCTGTCCATGGACACGCACTCCTCCCCATCGAACATGGAGCCGGCGTCACACTGGCAGCCCTCAAAGCACTTCCCGGTGCACTGGGCAGGGGCGGACAAGCTAGCGCAGGTGAAATCACAGGACCTGGTGCACAGCTCGTAGTGGCTGTTGGCCGGGCAGGCCAGAGCTGGAGAGAGAGAAGCAAGAGAGAATGAGGATGGAGAAAAGGTTTTTACAATAATTTCCCTTGGAGACATAGTCACATTTTCTGCTGTAGTCTGTTTCCCGATGAACACACAGAACCCCCCTTTTTTGTCTCATCTGTGACCACTTGTCGCACAGGCCACCTTGCTCACACCTGGGCCCTGGGGTGGGAGCTGGCTCAGTGTTGGGATCACCTCAGACATGGCTTCACCACAGTATTTACTACAGTGCAATGTCCCAGAGCACTGGACACTGGAGTCAGAGCCAGAGGCTGGCATGTCCTGCAGTGGGCTACTGACACTCCTCCAATCCTGGCCCAGCAAGGACTGTCTGGCTGTCTAACGCAAGGACTGTCTGGCTGGACAAAATCAATCAAAAGCAAAGGTGCATAACTTGCAATGAGGCATGATATAGACCAGTGGTGCTCAACCTGTTTTCATTCGCGAGGGGAAAAAAAAATCCTGTTGAGAACATTTTGTTGTGGCCCCTATAATTTAAAGTGTCGGTCCGCTCCGCTGCCACTCCCCCACCCACGCCGCATGTACATTGGGCGCTGACCTGGGAAAAGAAAACACTGGCCAGTCCAGATCACAGTGCTGCAACTCCCCCAGGAAGACAGCCGCGACCCCCTCCCACAGGTTGCACACCGTTGATACAGATGACATGGCTACAGTGGGGCCAGAAACACCCCAAGATTTAATAAACCCCAAATTGCCATCAGAAAAAACCCAACTTGGCAGGAGGCGGGGGGTTATGGGCTGGAAATGAAGCCAGTGGGAAGATCAGGGCTGCAGGTTGCTCTGCACTCACGGCAGAAGGAGGCCGTTCTCCAGGCTCTGATCCTGGCTCCGGCAGCTTGGCAGGCGGCCGCGTAGGCCTGCAGACTCCGGCAGAGGGTCTCTCCCGTCCCGTTGGCGGTGCACATGTCGTGAAGACAGTTGCTGAAGTACCTGGCAGGGCTGATCGTTGAGTGGCAGTCTCTGAAGGGACCTGAGGTGGCTTTGATCAACCCACAGGAGCTCTCCGCCTGGTACGGCGCTGTCTGGGCTGCATCACACACGGGGCACCTGTCACCGCAGCCATCAGAGCACGTGGCACCCTCAACGGGCACCTTCCAGGCAGCGATAAATTCGCTCAGACTTTGTGTGCTCGTTCCATTGGGCAGCAGGAAGTCATCATTCTTGTCACCATTGAAATTGCCAGCCAGACCACACAGGTGTCCCCTGTAGGTGCTGGGAATGGACACTCGGAGGTAGGTGGCAGAGTCAAAAAAGACTCCCAGGCCAGCAGCAGACTGGAGAATGATGTTGTTCCCCTCCTGGTTGAGCCGAAGTTTCCCATCGTCTGTAGCCAGCGGGAGGGTGTAGAGCTCCCCGCCAACCTGTGCCAAGGAGAGAGAAATTCACCCATCAGTGGTGGGGATTCGGTACACACACGCACACACATGCGTACACACAAGCACTAGTGCAATATAAAATTAATCTCAAACCGGGACTTACCAGAACCTTCCACTTCCTTCCCCGCTCCATGGTGATGGTGTAATCATGAACAGAGACCACCACTGTCTTCATCACAACCACATGGCCACCACCAGCACCCTCATTCTCTACCACCACGGAGAAGTTCCCCAGCCCAGAGTCACTTCTGCAGACCTTGGCTAAGGTGTAAGTGCAGGAGCCCTGAAAGTCAAGGGCCCATCCATCAAAGGCTGTGTAATGATTGCTGCCAGACACAAGGCATGTTCCATAGCCTACGGTGTGGCAGCCCAGGACTCCGTTCTTCACACCGCATTCCTCATTTACTCCACAGGAGGCCTCCCGGCACTCGATGACCCCGTTGCCCTTGCACAGGCACCGCTCCCGGCAGGAGGTGCTGGGGTAGAATTCCTCTTCTTTCTGGTAGTACCTGTCCTGGTGCACACAGCCGCACTGCGCGACGGGGACGCACTGGTCTCCACTCAGGGTGAATCTGCTTCAACCCCCCCCCCCCCTTCCCCTTGCTTAGTGGTGTAGAAAGTCTCCTTTTCATGTCTGTGAGGATGTTTAAAGCAAGAAAATGAGAATCAGGACTCCTGGTCCTAGCCTTGTCTCTGAAAAGCACGCTCTAGTTGGCCATTAGAACGCCTGGGTCCCATTCCAATCGGGGGGAGGAAGGGCCACCTCTCCACTGGAAGAGCAGGAATCTGCATTATGTTGCCAGCAGGGGGCTCAGAACTCCTGGGTTCTGTCCCTAGCTCTGCTACTTACTGATGAAGGATCCCTTTGGCCAAATCCTCCCCATGAAAGACACCAGTCATTCCTGCCTTGCAGTAAATTACAAGATTCGTGAATGCCTATCATAGACTCAAAGACTCATAGAATCCTAGGGTTGGAAGAGACCTCTGGAGTCACTGAGTCCAGGCCCCTGCCCACAGCAGGACCAACCCCAACTAAATCATCCCAGCCAAGGCTTTGTCAAGCCTTGCCTTAAACACCAAAGTAGTAATTCAGTTTACTCTGGGAAGGCGAAGTATAAGACTGGGTCTACATTACAGACTCCCATAGGTAAATACACCATGCAGGAATGTGGAAAATCCACACCCACCACCAACCAACCTCCTGGTCTAAACAGCGCTATGGCAACAAAAGGGCTTCTTCCGTTGCCATAAAAGGGAGTTACTCACCTTGTGCAGTAACGACTGTTCTTCGAGATGTGTGTCCCCGTGGGTGCTCCACTGTAGGTGAAGGGTCGCCCTGAGCCTCAGATCGGAGCTTTCTATAGCAGTTTCCCCTGTTGAGTCACGCATGCCCAGGAGGCGTCTCGAGCCCTTGCCGCCTCCTGAGGAGTGTGACTCATCCCCCTCCCTTTCAGTTCCTCTTCAACCGCCCTCGCCTGTGGACGGAGCAAACAGGAGCTCCCTGTCAGACTCTCTGACTACCTTTTTTCTCCCTAGTTTAGTTATAGTTCTTTCCCCTGATATCCAAGTTACCTTCCCTGTTTCTTTTTAAAAGAAGAAAAAGAATTTTTAGTAATAAG